TGTACATGCTCTGGTCTAGCCAGATTTGTAAGGTAGAACTGGGGTCATGATAGTTGGGGGATAGGAAGCCTAAAAAACTAGAGGAATGTTGGATGTTTCACCGGTGCTATACTGCACTTATTTTACCTTTTAAACAAGGATTTCGATTATAACTGAGTTTATGGAAACTCATAGTACCATATTATCATTTCAATTTCACTCATTCAAAAAACTTCCAAATCAATAATAAATGTATAGTACTAACTTCAGAGTCTGCATAGCCATGCTTAAGGAATTATAAAGAGATGGTTCTCCATGGCAGGTCATGTCTACAGCTTTCTTTAAAGATGTTACGTGTTTCCTTGGGTTTCCTGAAATATAGATTAAAATAATTTACTTTTAATAAAATCCAGTACATTATACGAATTTGTTTCTCCCCCAAATGTAAAGATCTGTGATATGAAACCGCCACTCATCGGTCAGTTCATTGCACTGTGGTGGCTTGCCTGATGCTGCCATGCTGGACGCTCTAGCTCACTGGTATTACTACTCATGATGGACAGGGTCAGTAAGCTTCTAGACTAAGGAATGTTGATTTAGTCCTAAAGCAAACTGGCCAGTGAAAACGTTATCAATAGCAGCAGAATGTTGTCTAATATAGTGCTGGAATATGAGCCCTTCAGGGTGGGAAAAAAATTGTCACAACTGGACTAATAGGTAACAACATGATAAATGGAGAAAAGACTGAAGCTAACATGGATTTCACCTTGCTTGGATCCACAGTCAATGCTCACTGAGGTAGCAGTTGAGAGATCAAATGACACATTGCATTAGGTAAACGTGCTGCACAAGACTGCTTTAAAGTGTTGAAAAGCTAGGATGTTACTTTGATGACAAAGGTGCATCTGACCCAAGCCATGGGATTTTCAATCACCTCATATACATGTGAAAGCTGGATACTGAATGAGAAAGACTGAAAAAAGCTGATACATTTGAGTCATGGAGCTGAGAGTACTGAATATGCCACATAGTGCCAAAAGGACAAATAAATCTGTCTTGGAAGAAGTACAGCCAGAATGCTGCTTAGAAGCCAGGATGGGGAGACTTAGTCTCACGTATTTTGGACATGTTGTCAGGAGAGACCACTCCGTGGAGAAGGACATCAAGTTTGGTCAAGTAGAGGGGTGTCAAAGAGTGGAACGCTCTAGACAAGATGCATTGACACAATGGCTGATGCAACAATGGGCTGAAGCCTAACAAGTGTGAGGAAGAGGCAGGCATTTCATTCTGCTGCACACAGGGTCACTATTAATTGGGGCTGACTTGCTGGCACCTAACATGTATCAACAAAACATACCTGAGAGTTCGGTCAGTTTTTCAGCTCTCTTACTTTTAGTTACAATTATTCCAATCTCAAAATAAAAACAAAATGAACTATTGTTAGTTTAGCATAACAAATTAGTACCTTCTAGTAAAAATCAACATAGTTAAAATTAATGACTACCAAAGAATAAGCAAATGGTGGCCTGGGACTAGCACATATTTACACTTTCATGCTCTCTTTGCTTTTTTATGAGATGTGATAGTCTGGCAGGCATGGTCCTGCCTTTGTGAATGACTTTGCCCTATCCACAGCTCTCACTCTCTGTGTAAACAGCACTTAGTCAGTTAACCTTTTAATCTGTACAAGTCAACCATTCATATATTATGGTCTAAAAAGCTGGCCAATGCATGTATAATTTCCTTTTCTCGACAGTGTTTCAAATGCCATATCACTGGGTAAACTACTGATACTATCAACAGAATTACTTTATGCTCCATGAAGATGATTAATAATATTCTCCAATAAAATGATAATGCTGCCTCTAAAATGAAACAGGGATATATATAAACCACAGATAAGGATTGGGAACTCACACTTAATCATAGCCCTAATTGTAAGAACAATTAGTTCTTATGAAATGGCCCTGTTTGATGGTCAGCCTCACGCAGAGATCACTGAAGATACGGCTGTCATAGCAAAGTGTGATGAAGAAACCATAGGAAGCCCCGGCTATAAGAAAGAATAGTAACAGCGGTCTTAAAGGCTTGTCTCAAAACAACCAGCCATCTAAAGAGAGGCATCAACTAAGTACACATGGAAGAAGCACACCAGTATGTGTGAACTAAGGATTATAAATAAAATCCAATCCAGGGGAGGGAATGGAATTATAGCTTACATTCTAAATACCCAGTTTGCAGGAGGTTGTGGATGACAGTGGGAGCCCAAAATCCATTTACAGGGTCCCAAGAGGCTTAAGTCTTGTTGTCAGACAGAGAGCATAGTAATATCAATTGTGGCAGATGCAAATAGGTTAAAATGTTACACCTTTTGATCTTCCTTTTGACCCATTTTAAATTTCAGTTTTTTAAAAAATTATTTTCTATTGAGATTTTTCTTAGTTTATTCTGTCATTGTTGTTGTGTTTTTCTATATGAAAAATCCAGGATAGGCAAATCAAAGATTAATAATTACCTAGGGACATGGCAGGAGGGGCTGGGGGACATGGAAGGGCTAACAACAATAATGAAAAGAAAGAAAATACTCTAAAACTGATTGTGGTGATGACTGCACAACTCTTCTTAATATGATTGAACTACTGAATTGTATGATATGTGAATTATATGTCAATAAAATAAAAATAACGTCTAAGAAACTTTTTTCATGTTGCTTTTGAAAAACAGATTTAGCTATGCATTTACTGTTATTGCTTAAATTTAGAGTTATTTTGGTTTTGACCATTTTGAATCATTGAATAATTCATAGAATACATGTACTTTTAAAAAACAAATTACACCATCCAGATTCCTTAGCCCTCACAGCTGAACCGTGGTCTGAGCGGCTTGAAGGAAAAGGAGGAGAGTGACACTGAAGTGGACTCGGAGTCTTGGGACAAACACGTTCACTTCAAATGATAACACACGCGCACACACACACACACAACAAATTACATTTGGCAGCAATATTAGGAATCTAATTCTGAATTCTATCATGGTGTACATACCTGACTAATAGGATTTTGATCAAAATACTCCTCCACAAAGTATTCCAACAACTGTTAAAAAAAAAAACCAAAAAAACCTAGTTAAGCACATAATAGCTACCAGATATCACATCTGATTAGTGCTTTATGAAAATGATTTTTCAGGTGACTTTTCCCATAATTTTTAATCTTACAGATTTAGGTTTTCTTTCATCAGTAAAAATATAAAATTGAAAGTAACTAGCTAGTAAAAACCTTAATTTTAAATGCCATATATACTCGAGTATACGCCGACCTGAATATCGGCCAAGCCACCTGATTTTATCACAAAAACTGCATAAAAAATGTGCTGAAAAACGCAGCTTATACACGAGTATATACGGTAGTAAGCAAAAAGATGGGTCCAAGGTAGGCCTTTAGAGATAGACCCATCTGGACACATCAGGCAGAAATAATGTAAACAAAGGAATTTGATCCAATAAAGAAAAACAAAACAAAACTGCCTTTGAGTCTGTCTGACTCATAGCATCTCTAATGGCAGAGTACAGCTTCACCTTAGGTTTTCCAAGGCTGTTAATCTTTATGGGAGCAGAAAGCCTCATCTTTCTCCCTTGGAGCTACTCATGGGTTCGATCTGCTGACCTTGTGGTTAGCAGCCCAATGAGTAATCCACTACACCACCAGGTCTCCTCCAGTGAAAACGGAAATAGAAAAGAGCATTATTGAGAAAGAGGTTTGGAGAAATCCAGAAAAATCTGAATATATTTATAAACAGAGGAGATAGAATCAAATAAGTAAAAGGAAAATGGAGATTCCATTTTTAAAAGAGCTGACAAAGCAAGATTCTAATTTGAGTGGGTGTTAAGGGCAAAAATAATAAGTCATTTTACTTTATTATTTCCTTAAATAATCCAATAGTACTCCTAACTGGCTGTAGTTTGTATTGCAGGCCCAGCAGCACAATGGTGAAGCATTCAGCTGCTATTGGAAAGATTGTTCGCTGCAATCAAACAGTTTAGCAAGAGAAAACATTGTGTAATTGGCTCTTCTAAAAGTCTGCAACCTTAGCAAACTCTATGAGACAGTTCTGCTCTTACATACAGGGTCACTATGAGTCGGAATCAACAGGACACGACAGCAACACCGCCATTTGGATAGAAGCTCCTGAGAAGTGCAGTTCATATGCTCAGCTGCTAATTCAAAGGCTCCACCCAGAGACAGTTGTCTGACAATTTCTTCTGGAAAATTAGCCCCTGAAAACACTGTGGAGCACAAT